TCCAGTCTCTCTTGCTAAGAGGAAGCTTTACACCGAAAGCTGCCAACTGCCAATTTATAACTGTACCATTCGAAATCTGATACACCTTTTTTCTTTTGGCAGCATCTGTATACAACAAAAAAGTTGGATTCTACCTTCTAACCATTATTTCTTAACCAAAAAGGATAGCCTCACGGGGGTGCAGAAGACTTCAGCTCTCTTCTGCATATACAGGGTCTACCATGTAGCATATCTACTCGCCACAACTTGACCTCACAGCATGTGAGCAGGGTTATGTTCCTACTTTCTTTGTCAGAGTTGACATCAGAATGTTACATTTTATAACTTAATAAATTGACCTAAGCTAGTTTGTTAAATTTACTTAGTAAATTTACTAAGGGGAAATCATGAAGAAAAGAAAGTCTCACCCTTCTTGAGTAAAGAAGTAAATAAAAAAATACTTACACTGGTAATAAACCTTTATATTTTTCCTTAAATGCAGTTAAGATCATGGGCAGTTCATCGTGATTATGCTAGTATGTCTATTTGATCCCACATAACCAGTTGAAATCTGGGAAAGTTTGGACAATCAACCTGTTGACTTTTACACATGACATCAATTGACCTCTCTCCACAGAACTAACACAGTAGATCAGATGTTCTCATGTTGGATAGACATGGTTATGTGCAAATAGTGCTTGTCTACTTCTCAACCACCTCAGTTCTGATTCAGCAGGTTTGGTGGCAAGAGGAGCTGCATTCAGCTCCGACTCCCCTAGGCTGGCCTCCACCCAGAATACAGTGTGGTCGTAGCTACAGTCACACACGGATGCTCAGCATAGTGCTTCTCAAAGGGAGGATTTTTAAAATCATTGGCATCTTTACAACTTCACTTTCAAATTGACTGGGATTTAAAAAACATTTTATTTATTTATTTGACACACAGAGAGAGAGCAGAAGCAGGGGGAGCGGCAGGCAGAGGGAGAGGGAGAAGCAGGCCAGGCTTCCCGCGGAGCAGCGAGCCCGACGCGGGGCTCGATCCCAGGACCCTGGGACCATGACCCGAGCCGAAGGCAGCCGCTTTTAACGACTGAGCCACCCAGGCGCCCCTTGACTGGGATTTTTAAAAAGCAATACAAGTAAAGGCTCATTTTATTTTATTTTATTTTTAAAGATTTTATTTATTTATTTACTTGAGAGAGAGAGAGAGAGAAACAGCATGAGAGGGGATAGAGGGAGAGGGAGAAGCAGGCTTCCCGCCGAGCAGGGAGCCCGATGCAGGGCTCGATCCCAGGACCCTGGGATCATGACCTGAGCCGAAGGTGGACGTCTAATGACTAAGCCACCCAGGCACCCCCACCCTGCTACCTTTTAATAACATAAATGGTAGCATGTCAAACACATTGTTCTACACCTCCCCTTCTCCACCAGCCACTGGAGATCTTAATTGTGTACAGATGGTGGGCCTACCAATTTGCCTGGTATTTAGGTAGCTATGTGCCTCTGGCCCAGCCTGATTGGTCCAGGGGTGACACATGACCCAAACTGGGCCAATCAGAATCTCTGCTGGGATTTTTCCCTGTGGAGCCTTGTCTCTTGGGTCACTATACTTGAACAATGTCAGTTGGAGGTGGCTGGGGGCCATGTTCTCCAACAAAAAGGGAAAGCCCATCTCCAGTAGGAGAAAATGAGGCCAAAACACAGAAGCCAAAAGCTCAGCGAGGGGGAGAGAGAGAACATGAAAAAGAGCAAGCAGATGAACTTAAGACCCTGAATCTAGATATGCCAGAAACCAGATAATTTAACTGCACAGGCCATTTAATTCCCTTTGTTTGCTTTTGCTAGCTTACAACAAAAAAATTCCTAACACGTGCAGTCGGTTTACAGGGAAGGATCCTTAGAGATAATCTAGTCCTATCCCTTTCTTTGATAAAAGACACAGAATCTACCCCCTGTCCAAACCCAGCAAGTGGGGAGCAGAATCAGGACCTGACTCTGATGTTCTGGTGATCCCTCGTCCCCCTCGGGCCCCCGTCCCGCCCTGATGCTAGGGGCTGCTGTGTGCTGGGGGCCGATGAACTGCCCTGGCCCTTCCACGTTCACCGGCAGCCCCCTCAACTCTGTAGACAACAGAAATACCCTGGGGAAAAAGCCTCATGTCATGTCATGGGGCGGGGGGGGGAGGGGGGGGCAGGAAAGGGAACACAGCCCCCTGGGCCCCAAGCTCTCTGCTTTCTGCAGGCACAGAATGCCCCCTAAAGGCTGTCCCCGTCCCTGTGTTTGGGCTGTCACCTGGGTCACAATCCTTAAAGCCTCCTTGGCTAGGCGTGGGCCCAGCCGCCCTTCACGTGGAAAGCCTTGACCCCTCATGCCCTGTGCACTTAGCCCTCCCAGTGCCTTCTACCAGCTCTCTCGCAGGCTTCTAAGGGCCTGTGACCCAGGTCACAGTATCTCCCAGCTACAGGGGGCCCTAAAGGTCATGCGGGTCACTTCACAGTTGAGGTCCTGGTCGGGAAGTGACTTAGCCATAGCCCCACAGTTCACAAGATGTAGTTTGGGTAAACATTTCTCAGCGTCCACTACTGTGATGGGGTCGCAGGTGCAAAAGGCAAGGGGAAGTAATACAAGGGCACACAAAACGGACATGGCGCACAGTGACAGGCACTGCTGGACCACGAGGCTGCGAGCGCTGCTGTGGGTGTGGGGATGGAGCCAGCCTGCACTGGCCGTTCGTGGAGCGGGGCAGCTGGGAGTGGGACGGGCAGAGGGACCAAGTACTGGGCCCAGGAGGGAAGGCCAGGGACCTGCCACGATGCACGGGGGGAAGCCTGGCTGTGAGTCAGGAGCAGGCGGTGCGAGACTGAGGCAGGCTCCAGAGGGGAGGGTGGGGCTGGACTCCCTGGGCACTCAGGGCACCCGCTGCAGGGCTCTGGGCAGGGGAGGCATGGGCTGAGGCACCCTCAGGGGCAGGTGAATGGGCAACAAGCGGGAAAGAGGCCGGAGAAGGGGAGAGGGCAACTGCTATTGGCCGAATGCCTTCCACATGCATCGCGAGGCCAGGCACGTGTGGCCAACAACTCATGCGATCTTTGCCAACACAGACACTGAGGCTTGGGTCCCGCTGTGAAGCAGCCAAGAAGGAACCAGCTTCCTCCAACACAAAAGGGAACTCAGTGCTCACTTCTCTCCCTGGGTCTGTTCCCCAGGGCGGGAATAGGATGGATGCCATCCCTGGGGCCTGGCCCAAAGTCAACACCAATGACTATTCCAGAAGAGAAGGCTGATGAACCCTGGGAGCTGAACGAGGCCAGGCTACACATGGGCAGGGTCCCTGAGGAACCGCACATTCCTGCTGAGGGTGGAGCAGGTGTGAGTCGTGACAGCAGGGACGCCCGTCCCCAGGGAATCAGGCAGGGACTGTCTGACCAGCAGTGGACTCCAGTATCAGATGGACAAGGTGGCCTTTTCAGGGCCTTTTGGGCCTAAGAGTCTCGATTCTATTAGGGTGACTAAGCAAGATCAACGAGGAAAGCTTCACCCAGTCCAGGCCCATCAGGCCCCCACCCGGCTTCTCCCGCTCGGAGGGTGCCGGGGGAAGTCTGAGTTCTGCAGGGGTCCAGAGGAAGCCTTGAGCCCATGACATTCCCTCAAACCCAGGGAATGGCCGCCTTCCCCCTCCCCCCAACACGGTGCGGGCTCTGCCAATGCTGTGGACAAGGATGACAACAGCGATGGCCGCTGACATTTACCGAGGGCTTACGAGCTGTCAGACTGCGTTCCGGTGCCACGCGTGTGTTCTACCACGAATTTGCAAAACAGCCCTTTGAGGCAAGTACTGTTTCTCTCCCCGGTGACAGATTAAAGAACCGAGGCACAGGGAGGTTGAGTAAGTTGCTCAGGATCACACAGCTAGAAAGTAGCAGAGCCCACATGCGTAATGTGGGCAGACAGACTCCAGAAACTGCATCCTTAACCACTTGTATCGGTGGCCCCAGGCCAGGGGATGCGCTCAAATTCACAGCGCCCCTCAGAGCCCAGGCGCACCAGGCAGCCTGAGGAGTTCTAGGGACAAAACCCAAAGTCCTGCTGTTTGGGGACGATTTGGGCCCGTCAGGTCTTCCCTGTCTTGCCTTGGCTCCCATCCCTGAGATCACACGGGACAAGAAGTACTTTCGGGGGAGCAGAGAGGCCGTTCTACCCCAGACCTCCCAGCAGACCCGCAGCACGCCATATGGCCGAAGGTGTCCGCGTGCAAGTGAAGGACTGGGCTCTTTGAGGAAGCCAAAGATAGATCCAAAAGGGAACAGCCCACAGAGGGATGACAGGGCCAAGGGACAGACAGCAGGGTCCAAAGTATCCAGGACACAAGGCAGAGAAGGCTGGAGTCAGAGGGTGCGGGGACATTCGTTTCCTGCCAGGCAGGTGGAGGTGCGGGGGGGGGGAGGGGGCAGCATTTGAGCTGGGTGCCGGAGGAGAGGAAGGGAACCCAGGCAGGAGGGCTGATCTGGGCAAAGATCCAGAGGCACAGACAGAACAACGGGCAGGGGCCAAGGGAGGCTTCGTTCGGGGAAGGGTGGGGAAAGGTCTGGAATAGCAGTCTGGGACACCTGAACTGGATACACAAGGGGCCACAGAGGGACTCTCATGACCAGAGCTGTGCTGGACAAAAATGAAACTAGTTTCACAATGTGCAAGACCTTCCAGAACAATGTAAGACACACCCACTGTGGGGTGTGGCCCACAGGCCAGGGCCCAGGCTGCTGTAAATCCCAAGTAAAAGAAGCAGAGATCATGAATAAACTGGACCTGAGTCTGGTTAAATCTGATGTTCCAGACCTCCAATATCCTGTCACTGGGTCTGGGGCAGCTGGGGCAATTCTCAATTGTGCCATGCCTCAATTTACCCATCTGTAAAGCAGTCCAAAGAGACGCTAAAAAAAAAAAAAATCTTCAAATCTACAAAAACATCTATTTTTTAGTACTTGTATGTTTACAAATATATACAGTAAATATTGGTAGCATTATACAAAAAAATACAGAAGGAAATGCAAAATAACTATTGGGTGGCTTCTTTTCAATTCTGAATAAAATTCCTATTTGCCCACCGTCTGATTCCAGGTAAGTTCCAGATTACATTTTGCTCAGGTCCTGAATGCTGTCTGCATGAGCGTGGTATTGCCTTAATCTTTCCCAGGGCTGACAGTTAAACACCATCCCTGCTCGTCAGGCCCTTTAAGATGCTGGAGACCAATGGCAACGGAGCCGTGTTGCTTCTACTGACCTGATTTACCATCTGGTGCTGCTGGACAGTTCTCTTCTCCTTAAATTCTTCTGACTCGATCCGGATTTCATACATCGCCCCACAGCCGCCTGAAATAAACATGACTCAAAAGTGTTTCAATTATTAACTTACAGCAGCCACTGTCCCATATGTCCTCAAAGTACCATACAATCCAAAGAAGGTCTGAATATTCTTATTCAGCAGAAAGTTGCTAATACGGTTAGAAAAACCTCACAGCTGACGACCGGACCACATGCTCCCCGCGGGGCCGCCTTGATCCAAAATGTGCTCTTCCTTTCGCAAGTCAGCTGCACGTACCCAGGATTATGCCTTGTGGGGCATGAAAGGTAAGGCACAGAGCACAGAAAGCCTAGGAAATGTCGGTTTGTTTCATATTTCTATTGAGTAGGCCAGGAAACCCCCTAGAGGAGGAGGGGCGGGAGAGGCTGAATTCCCGTGTTCGACCCCACCACAGGGGCAGCAATCGGTATTTGTAAAAATGCAAAAATACACTACAGTTTGGTCTGAAAAAAACCTGTGTAATAGAGCTGCGTGGGTCTCTCTCTCTTTCTTTCTTTTTTTTTTTTTGGATTTTATTTATTTATTTGAAAGAGAGAGATCAAACACAAGCAGGGGGAGCAACAGAGGAAGAGGGAGAAGCAGGTTTCCCGCGGAGCAGGGAGCCCGACGTGGGGCTCGATCCCAGGACCCCGGGATCAAGACCTGAGCCGAAGGCAGACGCTTAACCGACTGAGCCAGCCAGGCGGCCCTGCACGGGGCTCTCTTCAGCCCCTCCTGGTCTGTGAGCAACCTCAAGGGTCTCATCCCGGGCTCCCTCGGGGAGGGAATAGCTTTCTGGTCAAGCTGTCTGCGGTGGACACATCCACCCGCACCCACATGGCCGGCGAGCTCGCGCCGATGACCAACGCAAGTGTGCTGCCCTGGCATGAACCGACGCGGGCAAGAGAGAACATGTGCCCTGTGCTGGGGGCACGTGGCCAGTTTATGAGAAGTGCAAGTTACTCAGCAGGCTTTATGCGCCCCAGGAACCGAGCTGCCCGGCCTCGGTTCCTTTTCCACACTCTGCTCAGGGTGAGGCAGAGCCAGACAGAAGGTTAAGTTCCAGCTCTGACTGACCTGGGCCTGGGGCAGGTATAGGACTGAGGACGTCATGGCAATGCAGGGTGCCAAAGACACATGTGGGTATGCAGAGATGCAGGTGGACGGCCACCTAACTGCCCCCGCTAAGCTGTTCCACACGTGCGTCTGGACAAAGGCCCTGTCCTCCTGGCCTGTGGGTGCAGAACTCGCCTCCCCAGCCCGTTCCTAACACGCAGCCAGTCTGAACTTCTGAGGCGCCTGGGGCTGGCAGCTGGACTCAGGACAGAGTCCGCCTGTGTCCCCCTGTGTCCTGGTGCTGGTTCCAGTTCTGCCACCTCCTCCCTGGGAGGGGCTGAGCAGGTTGTTTGGCCTTTCTGGGCTCGGCTCCTTGTGGGGAAAGTAAGGAAGTTATTTTCAAAAGGATAAAATCCTTCTGGGATCTGCCCCAGCTCTAACATTCTAGGGTGTCAGAGAATGTGGCAAAATTAATGTTCATCTGGAAGTCAAATTAAAGACCGTGGGCCTGAGCCCCAGGGAGACCGAGAGCCAGGCCAGGCTAGCAACCACGAGTCCTCCCAGCCAGGCCTTATCCTCACACACAGTCTCCCTCCCACGCCTGCACATCCGCACCTCCAGCCATCGGCTGGGAGAGACTGAATTCCATCTGTCCAAAAGCCACACGTACTGAGAAGCGGCTGATGGCGAGTGCACTCTGCCCAGCGCCCTGGCCCTGCGGAGGGCAAAATCCTAGCAGACCCCGTGGGAAAGATGAGAGAAAACCTCACCTGAAATGTCGGTGACTTGGATAGCTGTAGCTCCAGGAAACCTTTCTTTGAGAATTTGGGTCACTCTGAGCTCCCCCTCAGTTTGCGAGGCAAACATTCGCTGAACACAGTGGAGAAGAGGAAGCTGCCACAGAACAGAGGAGAGTCATGGCCGAGCGAGATGGTGGTGTCCCCAGGCCGGGCCTGGCCACTGTGCAGGTCCCACCTACCACTGCCCCGCCAGCCAGGGCCCAGGTCCCCCGCCAGCATGGCCATGGGCTGCATCCCAGGGACTGCGTGGCATCGCATGTCCACTGAAGCTCCCCAAGGCACAGAATAAACTTCTTGGGGAGTTGGTGGAGTCGGGGAGTGGAATTGTAAATACCTCACTTTGACTCCAGAGCAAGACAAACTTAACAGATCTTGAACTCCTCCTCACGATAATGCTGTCAGAGAGACACCATCATGGTGTCAATTTTGGAGGTGAAGAAACGGGGGGACTGTGGCAAGTGCTAAGGCTGGGCCCACTGGTGAGATGTGGAGCCAGAGGCCAGGCAGCCCGCCTCAGACATGCCTCCCCGGGCCAGCGTGCCACTGACCAAATGCTGAGACCAAATGCCACCTGTCCTTTAGGCCTGATTCACATTCCACACCCTCCAGTGGGATGTGGCCCTGTGACGTACTGCTCACTAAGCAGGCTACACTTTGCTACATGTACTAATTCTTACTGGGGAGAAGCAGCAGAATTCTGTTAAAGGACCTGAAGGAGAAATGTTTTTAGATTATTTACCACTGGCAACAACACTCCCCCTGCCCCCAGTGGCGACCATAGGGAGCCAGTGCTTCTGATAGGAACATGTCTCAACCCTTACGGGAGACAGAGCAAAAAACCAAGTCTGCAGCCCTTTGACTGGGTTGAGCACATGCTAAAAGGGAGACTGAAAAGAGAGCATGGCAGGCCCTGAATGTCAGGCTAAAGATCTTGGCGTTTGTTAGGCCTCTTGGTGCCAAAGTAACCTGCACAAAACAGTGCCTTTTGAAGCTAGTCAGGAAAGATGCCCAGATGAGAGGTATTACAAAGGAAGTAGCCCGGGCATCAGACTGGAGGGGGGTGACAGATGGGACACACGAGCGCTGTTCATCTAGTGTTGGTGCTGAAGGTACCATCCCTTCACCCTTCAGTCCCACCTGTCCTCAGGCTGTTCCTGATGGCCCAGAGCAGGGTCCTGTGTTAGAGAGTCTCAAAGCACCTTCTTCTTTTTTTTAAAGTAGGCTCCACACCCAGCATGGAGCCCAGTGCAGGGCTTGAACTCACCACCCTGAGTTCAAGACTTGAGCTGAGATCAAAAGTCCGACGCTTAACTGACTGAGCCACCCAGGCGCCCCTTGAAGCACCTTCTTTAAAATGACCTGTGCACTGGCTCTTTCACTAGCTGGTTTCAAAGGCCAAGACTGAGTCCATCCTGTTACTGCAGCCTTCCAAAGCTGGGGCCAGGACAGGCCCTCTGGGAGACTTGGGTGATGGACGGATGAACGAATGAGCACAGTGAGCACACCATTCAGGGCATGCCTACTCGCACCTGCAAAGAAGTCTCAATTCTAGCAGGCAGTTGAGATGCAGGTCAGAAGAAAGATCTGGAGTGAGACTGAGTGCTGTGTGGAGGGACAGAAACTTGATGTTGGGGGCCTGGCTAAAATTGGGATGGAGGAGGGGGGGTGTGGAGCCTCCTCTGAGGAGCAAAGGCAGAGGGTAACCAGGTGGCAGGCAGAAGCAGAAATCGCTAAGGGCTGAGGGTACTTAGCATTGCTGATTTCTTGGGAGGTCTTTCCTCCATTTTAGCTAATCTGTAGGCAGTGGCCTTTACACGAGCCATCTACTGACAAAATCCCTAGAATCCTGACTGTCCCGCTGAAAGTCACCAGCTCTTTATACTCGGCGGAGGCGGGTTCAAGAGCGGCCGGCGAGGAGGAAGAAGGGAAAAGCAAAGTGGATGAAGTGAGGAAAGGATGACTCAGAAACGAGGAGAGAAACTTCGGCGAGCGCGCGGGCAGTGCCCTCTGCTGGGCTTCTACTCAGGGCGTGTGGGGCTTGGAGAGGGCACGGAGGCTGGGAGGACTTGCCCGAAGCCCAGACCCTCGCACTCTCCGGCACCCACGCCAGGACTCCGGGCTGTGACTGCTATGTCTCCGGCTCAGTACCTCAACGCCGCTTTCTCCGAGCCCGCGGGATCACGACGGTTTCTGTGTCTGGTCCCCTCGACCCCCACCTCCACCGGCTCAGGAGCTCCGCCAGCGCGCGCCGGGGCCTGACACTTCTCCGATCCCCGCCGCCCCGGCCCACTGAAGGACCCAACCCACTAGGAATGAATGAGAGAAAGGAAGGGGAGGCCCCCGGGCCCTGTGCCGCGCTCTACGGGAGCCGGTCCTCGAGCCCCGGCCGCGGTCGGCCCCGCGGCCCCTCGGCATCTCCCGCCCGGGAAGAGCAGCCCGGCCCCGCTGCTCACCCCGCGGATCCCACGGAGCAGCGGCGCTGCC